AGTGGTCTTATTTTGAAAAGGAAAAGTGTTAGAAAGAACCCAAATATCTAACTGGTGATGTCATAGCCAAATGAGGGACTGGACTGTCCCTATGATGCAGCTAAGTGTTTTTGAAGACTATTATAAATTTAATGGAGAACCACTTCCAAAATGATATTCATACCTAGATGCCAAACTACATATTTAGGGTGATGCCATCCTTGTAAGGTGTGTTTCTGTGTGTGTAGGCATTAAAAAATTGTATAAGGAAGCTGGGCATAATAGTTCGCTCTTGTAATCCCAGCACTTTGGGAGGCTGAAGTGGGAGTATCACTTGAGCCCAGGAATTTGAGACCAGCCTGGGCAACATGGGGAGGCCTCATCTCTACCAAAAAAAAAAAAAAAATGGCTGGACGTGGAGGCTCACACCTGTAATCCCAGCACTTTGGCAGTCCAAGGCAGGCAGATCATTTGAGGTCAGGAGTTTGAGACCAGCCTGGCCAACATGGCAAAACCCTGTATCTACTAAAAATACAAAAATTAGCCATGTGTGGTAGTACACACCTGTAATCCTAGCTACTCAGGAGGCTGAGGCAGAAGAATCACCTCACCCCAGGAGGCAGAGGTTGCAGTGAGCTGAGATTGCACCATTGCACTCCAGCCTGGGTGACAGAGCAAGACTCTGTCTCAAAAAAAATAAAATAACAATTAACTGTGCCTGGTGGCACGTGCCCTGGTCCCAGTTACTCTAGAGGCTGGGGCAAGAGGATCGCTTGAGCCTGGAAGATTGAAGCTACGGCCTTACTGAGGCTACAATAAGCTGTTCGTGCCACTGCACTCCAGCCTGGGCAAGACCCTGTCTCAAAAAAAAAAAGAAAAAACAAAACAAAAAGAATATGCTGAAATTGTAGAGAAGGGAATAAAAATTACCACCATCTATTAATTGTATCAGTGTTTGGGTATATGGTGATGTGAGATCAGGGATGCATAAAGCGACCAAATTCAACTGAGGATTTAAAAAAAGAAAAAAAAAAGCCAATTTTTAAAGGCACAGACAATCCAGACCCCTCCCATTCCCTGGCTGCTGACCTGGACCAAGCCTGAGATGGGAAGTGACTGCTGGGCCCTCAGCCAGTCTAGGCTCCCCAGTGCCCCTTCACTGTATTGTGTAGGTGTATCCAAGTGTGTGGGCAGTGTAAGGAATGTTTAAAAGCCAATTTTGCCTTATGTACTGACTTCAGAACGTTATCTGTAGCACAAGGTAGTCATTTATTGAAAAAAAAAATACATATTTGAAAGTTTGACAGCAACTGTGGTGCTGCTGCAGCCAGGTCACTGACAGCTCTAACGGCTCCTTTATTATCTCTCCTGTTTCTGGGCGAACCTCTTAGCCATTCGTTCCTGGTTAACTCGGAAACACATCCAGAGGCTACATGCAGCTGCCACAGTCATCAAGCACGCGTGGCAGAAGTGGAGAGTAAGTAAGACCCAAGAAGTCGGGGTGGGCAGTGGATCAGTTTTAGGGACCAGATGGACCCAAGTGGGAATGCTGGCTCTGCCACTGTAATGCAGGTGGCCTTGGGCAGGTTGTTCACATGTGAGCCTCATATTCCTTGTGTATGCGGTGGGCACAGTAACACCTACCCTGCAGGGTGGTTATGAAGGTAAAGAGTGGTGTAAACAACTCTGGGAATATACCAAACTCTGGAATGTACACTTTAGAAGACTGGGTTTTATGGCATATCAGTTATATCTCAATGGGCTATTTTTTTGTTTTCAAGTAGCATATGTAAGGCCTAAGCACAGTTGCCTGGGGTGTATAGACTTGTGCCATATGGAACCAGTTTGGTTCAGGGCAGCCAGCTGTTCACAACCAGGTGCCTTCAGTTCACCTTGTTAACATGATTTGTTAAAGATAGTTTTGATTTCCATTTTCTGCTAAGAGGGCTAGATAAATCTAAAGCTATAAAGGGATGTTTGCTTTTTAAGATCAGAATGGCCTACCTTGCTGCTAAAGAACTGGATGGTGTGGAAGAAAAACACTTCTCTCAAGCTCCCTGTTCCTTGAGGACCTCGCCGCTGCAGACAAGGTTCCTGGAGGCAATAATCCGCCTCTGGCCCCTGGGACTGGTCCTGGCCAATACAGCAATGGGTGTAAGCAGCTTTCAGAGGAAATTAGTGGTCTGGGCCTGCCTCCAGCTCCCCAGGGGCAGCCCCAGTAGCTACTCTGTCCAGACAGCACAACAAGACCAGGCTGGTGTCACATCCATCCGAGCACTGCCTCAGGTACGTTGTATGTGATGGCCATGACAGTTTTGTTCCTGAGAACAGCAGGACCAAAGCCTACAAGTTCACAGTGGGAGTGGGACTGAGGCTGGGACAAGATCCGTCCCTGGCCGGGCGCGGTGGCTCAAGCCTATAATCCCAGCACTTTGGGAGGCTGAGACGGGCGGATCACAAGGTCAGGAGATCGAGACCATCCTGGCTAACACGGTGAAACCCCGTCTCTACTAAAAAATACAAAAAACCTAGCTGGGCGAGGTGGCAGGCGCCTGTAGTCCCAGCTACTCGGGAGGCTGAGGAAGGAGAATGGCGTAAACCCGGGAGGCGGAGCTTGCAGTGAGCAGAGAACCAGCCACTGCACTCCAGCCTGGGCGACAGAGCAAGACTCCGTCTCAAAAAAAAAAAAAAGATCCCTCCCTAACCCTACTGGGTAAACCAGAGGCCTACACGTCCCAACCAATTGCAGGTTTGGATTATTTACTTTGGTATAACTGGGAATCTTCCAGAGCCCTTTATCTTTCTAAAAAGTGCTTCTAATTATTTCAGCATCACTAAATCTTCTCTTAGTCCCATTTCCAAATGCAGTGTTGCGTTTCTAGCAAGCTCCCAGCTGATGCTGATGCTCCACGAACCACACTGTGAGAACCAAGGCTCTAGATGAGTCAGGAACAGGAGGTGGTTAAAGTTCGGCTTAGGGCCTGGAGTGGTGGCTCACACCTGTAATCTCAGCACTTTGGGAAGCCGAGGCAGGTGGATCACCTGAGGTCAGGAGTTCAAGGCCAGCCTGGCCAACATGGCGAAACCCTGTCTCTACTAAAAATACGAAAATTATTTGGGTGTAGTGGCAGGCGCCTGTAGTCCCAGCTACTCGGGAAGCTGAGGCATGAGAATTGCTTGAACCTGGGAGGCAGAGATTGCAGTGAGCCAAGATTGCGCCACTGCACTGCAGCCTGTCGGACAAGAGTCCGTGTAAAAAAAAAAAAAGTGACTTAGGGTAATAATAGGTCAGTTACAGAAAAGAGGAAAAATTCATGAGACGTAGCAAAAAAGAAACTACCCAAGACTTGAGAGCAAATAATCTAGTTAGTCCCACATCACAACTTCGGTTGTGATCAATTGGTTACCTCAAATGGCACTGGATTTGGCACCATGTTTTCCTCTAACTGTATTGCTTGGTTTTTCTCCTTTTCTAGCTGAGGAAATGACAGGCAGGGTCAGTGGTCCAAGTTCTCTGTGGGTCTTTTTTCATGGTAATTTTTTGAGATGGAGTCTCTCTGTTGCCCAGGATGGAGTGCAGTGGGTTTAAGTGATTCTCCTGCCTCAGCATCCCGAATAGCTGGGACTACAGGGCATGTGCCACCACACCTGGCTGTATTTTTTTTGTGTTTTTAATAGAGACAGGGTTTCGCCATATTGGCCAGGCTGGTCTCGAACTCCTGACTTCAAGCAGTCTGCCTGCCTTGCCCTCCCAAAGTGCTGGGATTGCAGGTGTGAGCCACCGTGCCCAGCTGTTTGCATCCAGGGAAAAGTCAGCCAGCACACTCAGGAAGTCAGTGTCACTCAGGGCTTTGTGAGTCACCCCAGTAAGCCAGGCCTCATAGAAATAAAGTGGCCAAGGAAAGGTGAAAAAGTGTGTTGCACTGGGAGGTAGAACTCCAGGGTCTGGGTCCTGGTTCTGCCCCATTCACTGGATGATCTTGGCTAAGACACATTTTCTCGGAGTCTGTCTATAAAATGGGCTAATACTCAACCTACTGCATGGAGTCACAGCAAGGAGTAAGTGAAATGACAAGGCAGAAGGAAACGCCGAATTTCCATTCAGAGGAATTACTATAGGCCTTAATCTGAATGAAATCTCCCATGAAAACACACAGGCCTGCTAAACAGACGGGTAAATGTTTTGTTCTTCCGGCTTTAAGCAGTCATAGGAATGTGACAGACATTCCTCTTAGGGAGCGCCTCCTAGGGTTTCCTCATCTGTCTCACACTGAGTGGATGTAACGCTATTTTAATCCTGCTGTGGCCCCCAATTACTAGTACTTGTCCATACCTCCTTGCATTTCTAGCATCTGCTGTGTGGGGTTCTGTTAGGCTTTGGCATTCCCAGGAACTGGGGCTAAAGCTGCAGCTCTCTCTCCCCTCTAGGGATCGATAAAGTTTCACTGCAGAAAGTCTCCACTGCGCTATGCTGACATCTGCCCTGAACCTTCGCCCTACAGCGTTACAGGCTTTAATCAGATTCTGCTGGAAAGACACAGGTTGATCCACATGTGACCTCTTCTGCCTTCACTGGGCTGGGTGATCCTTGGTGCCTTTGTTCCACAAGGCCTTTTCCTGCCAGCTGCCTTGCCAAAGACATTTAATCAGCACACAGCTGCCAGACTGTTCCCACAGTGCTCCAAATGCACATGAACAACAGTAACGGCTCCAGCCTTCAAGCCAGGGCCCCATGCCCAGTGCATCAGTGGGCCTGGGGCTCCAGGCTACATCAAGCACAGATGGTGTCAGGGCTGGTAGTTAGCAAACCAGGGTTACGAAACATCAGGGCCACGTTTCACTACCTTCACAGATCATGCATTCACATTCCAGCAGCAGTCATGACTGACTGTCACTACAGTGGGGACCCCAGTTCCACATAAGCACTTTTGGAAGAAAACAACCAAAGTTGGCCTAAAATTGGCGCTGGAATTTGGGCTGGGGGAAATTTTGTGGTTATTTCCTTTAAAAAGGAACAAAACTTTAGTATTTAATAAGTTGATTTATTTAATGTAATTTCAAACAATTATGAATAATGCAATGTACAGTAGAATCACATCCTGATTTTATTTAGTAACACTGACCAAGTTTAACTCCATATGAAGTGTAAAGCTTGATACCATTTATGTCTATCAACTGTACCAAAAGTAAAACATTTAAAAACAACCATCTGAATGTCAAGTTTTTTCTCCATAAAGGACTTGCCACCTTAAGGGCCCCACGTCTGCCTGAAACATGAGCCACATCAATGCTGGTAAAGGCCTGTATAACCTAGTCTGCATCCTGGAAACCTCTTCTGCCTGGGGCCCCCCACACTAGCTGGTCTCCTGAGAGAGGGAGCAGGCAGGTTCTGGGAGTCAAGCACACGTTTGAGCAAGCAGCACAATAATCCATCTTAAGAATCCTCATTCTGGGATGGCTCCACAATTCCTAAACAGCAGTCCGCAAACTCCACAAACAAGGGCTCTTGCATGTAGGCTCTCATGAGCTTTGCTTTGTCTTCCCCCTGATCGAGGTTGACCATCAACTGCCTGAGGTGTGGATTGAGCAATAAGCTTCTTAATGTTGCAGATTCCCCTAAAAATTAACAAGAAAAAAAGCCAATCTGAGTTCAAGTGGGAAAACATGGAGATGGCTGAAAAGTGAATAAATATTTCAAGTGTAATAAAACTGTCAGCCAGGCGTGGTGGCTCCTGTCTGTAATACCAGCAAATAGGGAGGTCAAGGTGGGCAAGATCGCTTGAGCTCAGAAGTTCAAGACCAGCCTGGGCAACATGGCGAGATACCACCTCTATAAAATGAAAGGCGAGATCAGCATATCAAACTATTTCCACATTAAATGCAGTAACAGATACTAGTTCTTGGTATCTTTGTAAATATTGTAACTTCGTGCCACTTCAGCTAAGAAAAAAATGCTTTATCAGCACAATCAAAAAGCTAATAGTAGCATTAAGCTGCTGGCATGATTTCCTTCTAGCTATACAAGTTGCCAGTGGTGAAGACAGCTATACGAAATACTCTGATGTCTAGGCATGTGATTCGGCATGCAGCAGGACCAGTAGCAGGGAACCAACAATAATACCTGCATGGTACTTTACAGTCTATAAAATTGTTCACACCTATTACTAGCTCAGCTCCAAACTCAGTCTGATCATAACCATGAGACTAAGTGCAAAGCATAACCTTTTAACATGATTCTGTGACATGGGAAGAATGAAATTAACACACCATACACATGTAACAATGTTTTAAGGACTGAATAAGCAGTGCTACAAAAATGGCAATACCTGTTTCCCCTTAAATCAAATCATGTGATAACCCCTTTGAGTTAAAGGCTGGACTGTGAACTGAGCACTGGGGATCTGGGAATACAGGTCCCTGCTGTACAAATCGGTATGTGAGAGATAAATTACCATAAAATGTAACAGTGATTTATTACTAGTAAGTCCAAGTTGCTATGGGAAACCAAAAAAGTGCCTAATTCTGAAAGAGACACAAAAGGTCAAGAAAAGTTTAGCTGAGCAAAGCAAACTTGAAACAAGCCTTGAAGGAGGAGCAAAATTTTGCCAACCTGCAAGACCAGCAGGATTCCAGGCAGAAGGAATGGTGTGGGCAGGCTGGGAGGTGTGACACCCTTATGTTTACAGAATTATGTTGCTAGATAGTAAGGGCCCTGCATGCCATACTTATTCAAGGATTTAATAACTTTAAAAAAAAATCACAATCCTTATAACACAGTAAATGTATCTCAACTACTGACAAACAAGCACAGCACAGACTTACCTAAATTCTTTAAATTCTGCAAAGAAACTCTGTCTTCTTCCTCATCACTATTGAGAAAATCAGCTATAGAGTCATCATCATCTAAGGAATACAAAACAGTCAGCGGCTCATGACTAAAAAGGAGGCCTGGGCACCAGATTTTAACAACTACTTCAATAGGATAAAAATGTATGCACACACATGTAATAGTGATAGGGGTATTCAAGCAGGTACAGACAAAAATCCTCTTCTCCGGAGTCTGTGACTATACTAACACTCCTTTTTTAGAAGAGGGAGGCTAAGTGAAAGAATTGGTGATTTTAACAAATGCACCCTAGTGTTCACATCCTTACTTGTATATGTGGTCCTGTGGTCTTTAGGCTTAGACCCTGGCTGTCTAATAACTTATTACCCATCCCCACCTCTACTTGGCTCCAACCCTGTGATGGGCCAATTAACTGGATGCTCTGTAAAAAACAGTCAAGCAGAATCTCCTGTGCTTTCAGCATGGGCAGAAACTGCTGGCATTGCCTGAACCCAACCTGGAAATTTCTCAAAGGGCAAAAATGGGCCATGCCTTTGGAGTGAATGTTCAATACCTCTTTGGTGGCACCAGAGGGGCTGCTTTCAGAGCCTGGCATGGTGCATGACACCCAGGAGGTATTAAAGAACATTTAGATGGCTGGACGGATAGGTCGACAGCCCACTACTGCTATGAGCTCTGAACCCCCAGCAACAGCGAGATGATCTAGGACAAAGAAAGCCTCCTGCCTGGGCTGAGCTCAGATGAACTGACAGCCCCAGCCAGATTCATGGAGGGAGACCAGCAGCTGTGGGC